AAAATAATACTACCCTCCCTTTATATAAAATCTCTCAAGAATACCATTTGTGGCCCTGTAAAATAGCTCGATGAAGTACTCAGTCACAACTTACATTTTACATACCATACTACTATTAAATTAAAGCATTTGAGAGTCATTAGACTTGCCAAAGAGGGTCAAATCAAACATTTGCCTTCCTTAATACCTTGCTGCCTTTCACCACCTGGAAAGATTACTAAGAAACCATTAGTTGTCTTCTGACATGAGGACTGTACTCATCTAAACGATTTCTGTGTTTGGTCTTGTGGGAAACTGCTTTCACTGTTGGTGTGGAAGGGACATGACGGCCCCCATAACCTGAGGAACCTGCACCCAAATATTGTTCCTTATCACATAGCTGATACAGGATCTCTTCTAGAAAGCTCACTGGGACAGTCATTTGTTCCTCACCAGGGGAAAATGTTGGAGGGTGAATCCTGGAGTCACCCAGTTTCAGCTTCTGCCTCATGGGGTCCCTCCAGCTGCTGCATGCTGCCTCAGAGTCCCTGGTCACCCTCAGACCAGGTCTGAAAGAGCCCTTAAGCTCTTCTTTCATCCCCTCCACTGGCAGAGGGGGAAGAGGCCTGATAATCATGTAATGACATGTTCTTGTCAGCCAGGACATGGAAGCCCCAGTGTGTGAGGAGGACCAATTCACCTCCACAGCAGCCGCCTCCGCTGAGGTCAACTCAGCCAAGACCCCCAGTCAACAGCAGCTCCCTTCTCACCTGCCCAGGGTCACAGGCCTACTGCTCTAGCTCTGCCTCTACTTCTCTGCCACCTTCCAGCCCAGAAGCCAAAAGCCAGGGTGGCAGAACAGTTGCAGAGGTGAGCAGGACTGCTGCAGAGGCTTTCCCTTTCAGGTAAGGGCAGCAGTCATCAACCAGCTATCTCTCTGCTTAATCTCACACTGCCCAGGTACCACATGCCTGCTCCCTGCAAAGCCGGCCAAGCCTGATGGAAGGAGAGCTGTACTGGGCCCTGAGCCTCCTGCCTGGGAGGCAAAAATCAATACTCCCCTTTCTTTTGTTAACGCTCAGACATGTGAACATTAGGGTACAAGTCTGCATTATACCCAAACCACCCCTGCAGGTTCCTACCACTCCCTGTGAGCCACATGAAGCAATGGTGTGACCAAAGGATGGTTCAACTCAGCTTGCTCACACAACAAAAATTAACAAAACTGTTCATTATCCCTTTGCTGAAGATGAACTTCCTCATCCTGCAGACACACTATCACTAGATCCAACACAGAGGACATCACCTTTTGTGATGACAGCCTTGCATCTGTTATAATAGGAAACCACAAAATCCTAGGAATGCCCAAATGCCTCCAAGGCAGACCTAAAGAGTGGTAACGATCAGAGAAGCCAGCTAGTTATTGTTCTGTAGTTTTCTGTCCCAGCTCCGGAAGACTAAAGGCTGTTTTAACTTGTACAAGCTGGCTATGGTGCTTGAAGGACATCACACAGACAGGAGACAGCCAGAGTACAACATGGTCCACCCCAGCTCTGCTTTGTCCCATTCAGCATTTCCATCACCAACAGTGTCTGTCACCGTATCTAACAGTTCCTCTTCAGAGCCAATTCACAAACTAATGCTATCATATAATACTAATATGTGGTGGTTTTACACACAAACAAGCTTTTCAGGGATATTCTGTCAACCAAACCAGGCACCAAAAAAACCAGAGCTACATGGAAGTCCTGCAAAAAGTAAAAAAAAAAAAAAAAAAAAGAAGAAAAAACCCCACCAACCACCCAAGCAACTTCTTACTGGCCAAAGGAAGCACAGACAAGTGAACTACTTGCAAACCTGCTAAAACTGAATGAAAAATACTAATCAACAAGAAAAATGCAGAAAGTCACTTGATTACTTTAAAACCTAAGACTCCTGTACAGGAAACTGCCCAACCCAAAATCCTGAAGCTCTATTTGAAGCCTAGGTAACTACTCCAGCTTCCTACAGCCTTGAAGAATTCAGGCTTTGCAAACTGTGATATAGCATTTGCTGCGCTATTCCAGGTGGATAGGCTTTAACGACTTTCTTCCTTGTGATTAAATCAGAAGACGAGGAATCGAGTGTTTGGGCTTGTATGTTTTGTATATTTTATATACAAATCTTCTCACCATTCTATCCCTCTGCTCACCCATCTAATATAAATCCATCTCTTGGTATGATGAGCATGCAGTTTTTAGTGCCTGCTTAAATCCTCAGAAGTGAAAGTGCAGATCACAAAAAAGATACCCGGAATCCCAGGCAGTGCGCACATCTGCAGAGAACAAGAGATGAGCAGCCAAACATTCAGTTAAGGTTCTAGAGGAGGCAAGATTCACAAATGCTTACCCTGGTGGATGAATTTGGGGAAAGATAAGGAAGAATATAACACTACAACTATCTTGATAGTAAAGATACTGATTCAATTAGCATAATTAGCATAATAACTGTTAATTCTACCAGTTAAACAATTGGTTTACAAAAAATCATTGAAAAAACCTCTCTTATTTCAACAGAGTAAGAGACTAGCTAGGTTCTTGAACATTAGGTCTACGTTCTCATACTGCAGGAAGTACTGAAATGTAGAAAGTCTTTCATATACATATATAGGTTGAGCTCATCCCATAACTGAGTCAGTCGTTTCAACTCAAGTCTCTGACCTAGTTGAAGCCTTTCCCTGTAATTGATGTGTTTCAATAATTATTTTATTTTTCTGAAGATCTGACACTGTTCTTCAGCTCAGGTGTCTGCATCAAATAGACATTTTAGAAGAGTAAGCTATGGGCATTTTAAAACATATAAGTTGCTCAATAGTCCAAAACGGAAGTTAGTTGTCATAAACAAAACAAAAGCCATTGTAGAGTTATAAAAACAAGGGAGAGTTTCACTTGGATTTATATCAAACTGCACTCTTCTGGATAGTCACAGAGTAAAATAAACAAGCTTCAGCTCTCCAGGGAAACTGAAATGGATACATCTCATAGGCAAATCAAGCCATCCTCATTCCTCTTAATACAACCATGCTCATAAAATGCATTAATTGGGGTAGTCCAGAACACATTGTAACAAAGCCTGGTATTCAGCCTTGACTTTTTAAGTATGACAATAAATACTTTTTATTATTTAGATGTACAAATGACATTTTAGGGTGCAACACTGCTGATTAACTCAGTAGTATTTTCATATATACATTACACATACTCACATAATCAAGATAAACAGTATGGCTATTAATCTCAACTTGATCCATCTCCATATGAGGCTTCCAAACAGCAACATCAAAAGAACGGTAAGGAAAAGAGATTCAAATGCTAGAAGTCCATGGTGAATTATTAATTCAACTGCAGGAAAATTCAACCACAGTATCAGCAGTTGCAAGCTGGGAAGCATAACCAGAAGCAAAGTCAACAACAGCTCAAGAAACACTGCTTCAGGTTACTCTTTCTACCCCTACACCTGCTTTTGGGCTCCACTCCCCTCTCAAAGCCCACTTTCTTGGCATCTTTGGTGTCTTCAGTACGTTCCCCTCTTTGCCCCACTAACCCTCTCCCACGTGGGTTCCTGCACTGCACTGCTGTCCTCTTCAAAGGGCGCATGCTGCAGCAGCTCAGAGCAAGGAAAAAGCCTCCCTGCTTTTTGCTCCTCTTCCATCACTACCGGGGATCGCTGCCCAAGAGGAATGACTACACAACACTCCTCAAGTCATGTAATGAGGCCAAATCCTTCCCGACTGTCAGCCATGTTAGTGATTTGCTTTTAATTGACCAAAATTGAGTTAGGGTCATATCCAGAGCAGAGACACTTCCCTAACACCAGCCAAGCTTCTCCTGCCAAATTCAAGCAGAATAAAGTCTTCAAAACTCTTTAGGTAAATCACTGCAAAAAGATGAACAAAAAAATTTTCCCAAATCCCTCTGAAATGGCAGCTGACACCTCCCAAAAGCATTCAGTCTGAGGGAGTCACAGTATGTGGAAAATTTCTGCCAAAATGGTTGAAATAAGCAAAATTTAAGACCCTGTTTTCAGCTCCTTTAGTTCAGTGTGGATGTCTATGATGGCAGGGAGGCTCAGCTGTCATCAATGGACAGGAAGAGCTTCTCCTGAAGAATATTCTTTGCACTTCACTTTTTTCACCTCGCTCAGTTCAAGGACTAACGTGTTTGAAATCACAAAGCCAACTGGAAGTTGACAAAGTAGGAAAGCCTGGTATTCACTTCAATCAATAAAAATGAAATTAGGGTAGGTATAGTTTTACACTCTCGAGGAATATGGACTGAAAATAAACTATTCCCTTCACACACACGTTACATGCATTTCCTTGTAGTGAGCAATTTCAATTGAAGTATTTCAAGAAAAATAAAGCCAAGCAGCAGTATAACATAAGAACATACAACAGCTAAACTTCATAATACCAGTTTTACCAGTATTTATTTGGAAACTTGTCACAAACCATAACTTGACCATACTATTCACCAGTTTCTAACAACATGGAATATACAAATATAAACCTGAATAACCTAAGAAAACGTTTGAATAATATTCATGGGTGTATAACAGCCTCCGAGGCAACAACAATGCCAGTTTAGTCTGAAGTCTTCACTTAAATAGAAGCTAACATGTTTTAATCATTATGAGGCAATAAGAACTAATCTCTTTAGGAAGATATCTGAAGTACTAATGCGAAAGTCAGATCAAATACATAATTTAAGCCACTGACTCTAATCATGTTTTTAAACTGCTGCATTTAAAGTTAATCTGCCCCGAGGCAGGCAGTAAATGGTAACTTAAAAACAGTCATTTTTAGACAGCAAACATAACAGGTACGCAAAATCTTCCATGACATTTGTACTTATTTTATACCTCCATGATAAAAATATAGCACCCATAGCAGAACAACGATTCCGCAAACAAAAACCAGCATGCACTCAAATCAATACTTTTAATAAGTCTGTTTGCTAGTAGAAAGAACTAATGTTACTTACTGCTATTTCTCTGCATGCAGACATAGAAATTCCAGTACCTTCTATTTGCTTTAAAGCATAATCTTTATCATCTTTCCTGTGAAAGAAGAAAAGAAATTTTTTTTAAAAAGTGCACCATGACTTCAAAGTGAGCTCTTCACCACCATTCAGAGGACAGTTTCTAATTAATACAAATTCTGCATCTTATTTTCTTTTGATTCTTTACTAGTTTAATGTCTGGATACCCAGCTAAACCATAAGCTAACCATACCACCTTGATAAAGCTAAAATATAAATTTGCTCTCACTACATCAATAGGGATTTTTTTTTATTATTTTTTTAAATGCAATGACTGACATTTCTTCTATTAAAACGTCAACAAAGCAAACATTCAGTACATACTAGAAATAAGTCTAGTTAGGGGTACATCTCCCATAAATGTATTACTCTGGGACACAGCAAGTTTTCCCCATATTTTAGTGAATCCTTGAGTAGCCCAGAAGCAACATCACAGTAACATCTTTTCTTTCCTCTAGGTCACAAGATGTGTCCTAAAATTATGTTCCTACCAAACTAATAAAACTACCGAGATTAATAAAAAAACACAAGGTATCTATGCCATCTGAAGAATCCAGAGAAATGTTTTTTCAGCTTTAAACATGTATAACACTTAAACACCACCACCACCCCATACTTTAACCAGCATGTACCTTACAGGCATTTATTTAAAATGCAAACCTATTAGTAACTCCAGCTACCAAAAGCAAAATGAAGAAGACACTGCAGCAAAAGACGACATTGAACTCTTGTCCATCCTCAGCCTCAAAGAGCTGAAATTTTTAAGAAATGGAGTGCTTGTCCTTCCCACTTGTGGGCTGGTATCCACAGCACTCCTGGGGGACATGGCACTCAACAACATTTGGAGTGCTCGTATAGCCCCAGATCTCCGGGTTACATAAGAATCCTTATTAATTTTTAATGAATCCAGTTTTCACAGCTGTGAAGAGCCACCCTGGAAAAATGCAACTCAAACATCCTAAAGGCAAACAAAACAAAACTGTAGTTAAGCATTTAAAACGTATGCACTTGTTTCCTCCAGCTCGCACTAAATATTCGCAAGGCTTTGAATTGAATTCCTACCTGAAACACACATTTTCCCCTACTCATCACTACCTTTTTAATCCCTCAAATTATCAGGTCTCGTCCAAGAGATTTTTTGTGGAGTTCAAAGACAACCCGCTGTTAGCAATAACCTTTCAAAACAGAGGAGAGAGGAAAAAGTGGGAGATTAATGGACAAAAACTGAACACAGTTAATGAGGAGGAAAAATGAAACAGCGAGTAGGCAAGAGCAGATTTCAGTAAGAGGGCAATTACATGGATTCAGCAAGATAAAAGGGGAAAAGCTACAGGATCTGACACAAACAAGAAAAAAAGAGTAGGGAGGACAACGATAGAAGGCACTAAAAAACTTCCATATAATAAAAACCTAAAACTTCCCTGTCTGGAAAAGAAAGAGCCAATGCTGAGCACAAATTCATACATGGCCAAAACAAGGTGGGAATAGGGAACAACAATCCCCTATTTCCCACCTTAGAGGAAAACAAATTGCATGAAGCCCAAAACCAAGAAACCATTATGGTATTAAGCACATAATTAAACTGTGCAACTCATGATGACAGAATATTATAGGGATCAAAAGTATAAATGGATTTCAAATCAAATTACACAAATTTACAGTGGATAGGGGAGTTATGGACCACTCCATGAGCTGCTACTGAACATAACCCCAATCTGCTTTCTAGCACAGAGATTTCCTATGCTGCTGATAGAAAAAGATAGAGAAATTTTCTCAGCTAAAAATCATTTTACCCTCTATCTGCCTTAGCTAGCAATGGCTTGCGGCCATTACTGGATACAAACATGAAGCAAAATGGATTGGACTAGAGGTTATTCTCATTGCCCGTTGTGCTCATCTACTTAGTTTTCGAGGTGTTTGGAGAAATCCTTATTTCGTGACAAGTGCCACCAACACAACTGTTACTGTTACAAGCATTACCACGGACAGAATATGGAGCAAAGTGGGTCAGACTAAAGTTTATTCTCATTGCTCTGTTGCTTATCTGCTTAGATTTCAAGGTATTTGAAGGAGAACTCAGTATAATGAGAAATGCTACCATACAACTGGTATTATTACAAGCATTTCTGGTAGCACTGTCTACAATGAAGCCTGCCTTGCATTTAAGATTGTATGACTATTTTTAATTGATCAATTTTTTGCCAGATTAAGTCTGGACTAAAATTTTCCATACCAGATGGCAGACTTTCTCTGGAAATTTTTAGAAAAAAATACTTCAGCTGTTTCCTAGAACAAAACTGGAAGAAGACGCTTTCAGTTGTGTATGTTAACTCTTTTACAATCATTGCTTTAATGCTGAAATCTGACAGGGGGTTTAAGAACATACCATTTGGCCTCTTCAAATCAATGGATGAAATAAGAAGTCTCTGAAAATTAATCTTCTCACATTAACAAGCAGTTAAAGAACTGAGATCAAGAGATCCCATGCCCAACCTCACTTTGCCCTTACAGCAACCCAGGGCTGTGGGGAATTAACCACTCGCTCATTTGCTCTGCCCAGGTGCTGCATGCAGGAACCGAGAGCAAGTGGCCTCTGCCCTGTCCTCAACCTACCCAACCAGTTTAGAGGAAGTATAAGCATGGTAAAAAGAAGGAAAAGAAACTACAATTTAGGGATAAAGCACATTTTTAGCACCTCACTACACTCTCCTCCAGAACCTGAAAAAATAACCAAAGACTTCCAAGACTTAAGTTCTCTGAATTGTGCAGGCACAGTTGAGATACAAAGTAATAAACCAATTCCTAACCCTCTCTAACATCTGTTCTACACTGAGGCTGGTAACACGCCATGGTTACCCATTACACCATTAGTACCAGCTTTTCCATTAACAGAAGTTGGAAAATCCTACTTCTACCTTTGAGCCAAGCGAGATTTTCTTTCTAAAACTTAGTGTAATTCCTTGGGAGCCAAGGGAACTGGGGGAATAGTTTTTAAAGGGAGTGATAAGAGTCTACAAAAGTGTTATGAAGCCAAAAGAAAGGCCAAACGGAGTGACCAAGCTTATTTTACACAACTTCCAAAAATATTTTGCCAATAGTCTGTTTAGAATCATAACACAGCCCGAATGGCTTCCCCATGGTTTTGGATATGGGCAATTTCCTTCTCTGAAGATAAAGAGATGTTCAATGACAAGACAGGAAAAAGCAAACAGTAAGAAAAAAAAAAGGGGGGGGGGGAACCCTGTTTATAAACACCTTCCACAGCCAACTGTAAGTAACAAAATTGGCCACTTAACAGCTTGCATTTTAAGGGCACAGTAAGACTCAAAGCATAATTCAACTAAATTTCTTCCTTCTAACAGAGACGTCCTGTTGGGAAAACCTGTCCTCTTTCTCTGCTGCCTGGGAATGAGACGTTAAGTAACTTCAGCAGCTCCTCCACCTACCAGCAGGCTTAGAAAAGCTGGTCAATCTGCAAACTTATTTTCATGCTAATATATTCACACTTTCCTGCACGTAAGTAGGCTCGCATCTTCAACACAGTAATACTCTGCACTAGTAACAGGCAGTTGTGAGAACGATAAGAATAAGAAAACTCACTTTGTACACGGCTGCTGGAAATAGCAGTGTTTATTGTAGTCACACACAAACTACATAACCTTGTGTAAAAATGTCATTTCCTCAGAGGGACATTAACATCAGAGGCACAAATTTGAAAAAAAATGGGTAGCTGCAACACCACTTCCAGTGGATGTTAATGACAAGAACAAATATACCTGCAGTATCACCATAAAAGAGCATAACTACCTAGTATTGGTCTTACAGCTTGAATAAACTAAAACCAAAAATGCCATCTTTCAGAGAATTAAGCTACTAAGTCTTATAATGCTGTTTCCAAATATTAATATCTTTAAGTTCTACTGAATTTGGAAGTACAACGGCACCATATGAAACATTCGGTCTATTTGGGAAAAAAATCAAAAGGCGTAGGAACAGATGCCTGCTGAATGTGAGCATGTTGCAAAGCTTTAGTATTAAAATGCCTGGTATTTCTACCCTTTATTTAGAAGGATACTTTAAGCATAAATATGTTCAGCAAGCAGGAGAAGATATCCTACACATGGAGAAAAAGGAGGCTTATTACCTCAAAGGCAGTTTAAAAAAACATCAGTTCTGTTATTTCATCTCACATATCGTATATTTTGTAGAAATGTATTGGCACAACATTATAATATATCCTTTATTCAGATCACTAGGTCAGTTTAAAATTCAATTGAGTAATAAAAACAGCAGAATAAAGTACTGAAGCCTTAAAATCAGTGGTCATAATTCTAAACTTACATTACTATTAAAAAAAATCTCAAATTCAGAATTAATTGGTCACAATTTAGGAATAGTTTTTCCTTTAAAAACAAGGAAATATAAAACTTGACTGCAGTTAAACATCTGAGGGAAGTAGGCTCTACCGTCTTACAACTACCACAGGGAACATTAAATGCAGCATCTATTCTGCAGAAAACTCTGAGGAAACTGTTAATTGCTTATGGTTCTTATTCCCTAAAGAACACAAAAATCCTGATAATTAAAAGATAAGCCCACCAATAAAACACATGGGGCTTTTTAATTCTACCTTGAGAATTCCATTATCATCAGTAGTAGTAAAAGTAACACATCCTCAGTCAGTACAACTGTTGCACTATTGCTGGAGTGATTCAGGCTCAGCAGTACTAACTCAAAATTCTCTGAATGCATTAAATACGGCATTTCTATTTTACTAGCCGAAAATTAATTTGTGCTGTAGAGCATCTTAGCTTTGAACAGCTCACCTCAATGAACGTTGAGTAACTCCAACCCCTAAATGGTACAAACAGTAGCACATCTTCACTATTAACAGAAAAATACAGACAGGAGCTTTCATACATGCTAGGGAGCCAGGTAAGGCAAAATACACCAAATGCCCTATTACCTACCAGAACTTCAAAAAAGGAAACAGGTGAATCGGAGGTTTTATTATAGC